CGTTATGCGAGTAGAACGTCGAGAACACGCTGGTTGGCGTGAGAGAGAGCGAGAGAGCCCAACGCGGGCATCCGATCCAAATCCGATTGAAGACTTGATTGGGCAACTGGGGATCACACGTGTCGCGGTGGGCCGGCACGCATGCTCCCGTCCCCGTCGTCGTGAAGGCCCGGTCACCAGCCACATTCCGAAGGCAAGTAAGCAGCGTATGCCAGATGGCTGGCGACTAAGGAGAACTGCATCAGTAACGAGAGGGATTTCACCCTACTGCGGGCACGCTTTGTTGTGGTATCGGTGAGCCGAATTGCTATCGCTCTCGATCCTTGAGCAATAAAATCGTATTGTATGGCTCGCGATGGCTCTAACGTACAATATCGCTCAGGTGACAGCTTCTGCAAGATTATCTCAATGGGTTCTCAAGGCAATTCCTCAGCGATGGCCCCTGACTCCGTCGTCACACAACAGAGGACAACTTCTCGTCAAGAGAGCGTTCCCGGAAACTTTGACACGTACCCAGAATTCGGGAAACTACCACCAGCTCCTACGCCACCCTCGCACCTGCCCAGAGCACAATCCTCGCATATCGTGCTACAACCCCCGCCTGTACCGTTGTTCGAGCCGCGGCTACCTTCGCCAGCGTCGACTTCATCCCCGCATTTTCTATTGACGTCCCCGCCGCCCTCATCTCCGCCGGTTGCACCAACAACCTGGCCACTTCCGCCGGACGAAAGCGGGTCATCAAGGGCACGGGTTCAACCAGAATCTCTCCCTGCTGTCGACGATGAACTGCCCGAGGTTGATTCACCACCTGGTGAGTTTTAGATACCTCACTATAGATTCTCACTTTCTTGACACATTTCAATCTAGATATCAATTTCGTGGAGTTCGTACCGCCGCACCCCTTGCCAACGGAGAAACGACGGAGATGCAAGCCTTACCAGATAAACCACTCTGTACGTGCTGCCATCCTTGCTACAATGGTTCATCCTGACGTACGAATTCTTAGACGGAATCGAAGGAACGACGGCACGTGAAAGTCGCTGTATGCTCCCTTCCTGATTGGGCTTAAGCATGGGTCTGCCTCACATTTTCATCGCTCAGTGTACCAACTGCTCCCTGGCTGGCAAGAGATGCGACGACAGGCGCCCATGCGGCCGTTGTCTTCACCGCGGAACAGATGATTCTTGCGTGGACAGCGTTCACAAAGTACGCCCGAAAGGTTTCAAAAGGGGTGAGGTCGTCATTGATTGCATGCGTCACAGCTTACATCGTCTTCAAAGGCCCCTACAAGAAGAAAATACATCCAAGTCTCTTTGAACGGAGTCTCACCGAACTGAGTCTCACCGAATTAAGGACTTTGGTGGCGAGGAAGGAAGCGCAAGGCATATCATGAGGTTGGTGCGATGGCTCTATGCCTGTCGCTGAGTGTTTGAAACGCTGTACGATCTAGGCCCACCCTGTCGTGCTTTGACTCCTGTCCCACATTCATGGAGCTATCAATCCTGATCGAGAGCTGAAGGACGGTCATGCTCATGATAGAGTCGCAACATGCTAGGGAAATGCATCGCGACCTGGAGAGTACGCCTGGTCTCGGCAGGAGAAGGAAGATCGTTATCTTGCCCTCTCACTAGCCCCCCATGACGCTGACATATTGCTCAGTCGGGTTACGGCCTTCCGTCCTGTGCACACTAATCTCAGCCTGCGAATTCACGGAGGCTCGCCTCATGGCTGAGCGATTTTTTTTTCATATTGGCTCATGTTTATACTGCTGCACGGTTGCGAGAGAACAGACATCCAGCATTGCGTCATCATGTGTATCTCCTCCCTTCGTATTCGCCTGCGTTTCACTAGATAGATGGATGACAGCAATAGCGATTGTCATATGAGGAACTGATGTCTACGATGCGCCAACGGCGCGCACTCCACACGGCGGACGACGCGGACAGGACGCACAGACAATGATAGGACATCTGGGTGGTAACCCTGGTTAGCGCGAGGGGTGCGTATGTCAGGGCGTGGCACTTATTGGAAAGCTAGTGAATGTGCGGGAATTGAAGATGTGCGCGATGCGCGCCGCCCCACCTCGACCCGGCCTCGGGGATTATTTCCACGTTCGAACCGCGCGACTGCGGCATTGTATCGCGAGTAACACGAATCTCCATCTCTGTAGGAACTTACCAAAATACATAGATGTACTGAGATCATGATCTCTTCTTGTACATTCCCTTGCTTACTCATCTTTTACCTCTAAGACACGAATTCTACTCGTTACCCTGCTTTTGCTATACTCTGAGTAGTAGGATACAACGGCCCATACAGACACTTAAGGCAGAATCGAAGATCAACTCCAATTCACTTACAGCTGAGGCGCGTCCTTGACTGTAGCCTCAGCGAACCACCACGGAACTCACGTGGCCAGGCCACGAGGAAGTGGCAGTGCTTCCTTTCTTGGCGCCGTTTCAACTCCTGCCACCATCGTTCCATCGACCAGAGCTTTGAAAACTAACCCCACCACTCTACCTCAATCAGTACGTTGCACCGAACCTCTTGATTTCTGTTGACGACCAGCTGAACATCAAGAAGAAGCCGTGCATCTTCCCGTAACTGGGCTCCAATTTTGTCCTCCCTGGTGTCACCGATAGCGCACAAAGATCAACGTGTACAGGCCGACTTTCATTTCTTTAAGGCTCAAATACGCACTCCCCCGACCAGACCGGTACCTACTCAAGTGGTATGGCGGGCATTGAATCTGCTGATGGTGAGATCTGGACTCATGTTTCCTGCGGGTGATTCTGAACAACACATTCTACCAGACTTTCCTGCATATGCCGCGACGGAGACTAGGACAACTCTTATCAGAGGTATCATGCTGATTACTGGATTTGTACTGCATAAACTGATTGAGATTTCATCAGTTTCGTCCAATCCTTCCACTGCTCCTAATGGCATGTTCGCTCCAAAATCCCGACAATTCCCTTTGCACTATTCTGTCATAGCTTCGCACCATGTCCGTACAAACGAGCCTGAAACAGTCGCTCCATCCGGTGAAGATGTTGCTGAGGGGAAAGGAGCATTGGGCTTGGAGCGTTTTGCATACGTCCCCACACGGCCCGCCTTCAAATTGAGGACGGTTCCAACCGTCAATCGCAAAGAGTCTTCCGGCTCCAGCTCGTTCCAAAGCGATTTTACCTCCGAAGGTCACCGTTCAGCACGAGATGATCTACTAGGCGGATTCACTAAACGTCGGCTTGGAGTCCTCTCGAAATGCGTCTGTTGTAACTTGAAGTGGACCACCCACAAGTCGCCGACGTTGAAGGCGTTGCATCTAAATATATGCGCCCGGAAGAATCACTTGGCTGTTTCATCGGTACAGAGGCTCCTCTGCGAAGCTCTGGAAGCGCAATCTTCCGTCACTCGGGCAAGGCAGGCGAGAGAGGGCTCTGGCTCGTCATCATCCATATCACCTCCCACTCTCATGGAGGCTGTTCTTGATCAGCACGCGTCCAAGAAACGAAGACGCTACACCGCGATGCAGGTGACGATCCAGGAGCCAACCATTGCTCATGAAGACATTCTCAATCGTGCCCGTGCGCTACTCGGGCGAAATCGTTCTCCTGAGCCCCTCGCGCCGACGCAAGCATTCGGTGCGTCAAGGTTAGGTGACACGGCGCGTCTTCGAACGCTGGTATGCGTGCTTTAAACCGGTTTAGAAAGCGCAAAGGCACTGACATCTGTAACAGACTGAGCTTGGGACAGGACAAGATTTTGTCGCAAGATAGGGCCACATAGCGCATGCAGACCGCCCTTTCTATCTACGCTCAACCGGGAGACCTTCCGGCAATCCTGGATTCAGTCTCATAAGCGATGTGTCCGCTATAGTTGAACAATCTTGATATTGTGTTTGATCGCAATCCGCAGCTTAGCATTGACGGCTGTGATGTCACAAGTGGCGGGCTGTGAGGGCTTCAAGCTGGTCAATGGAATCCTATCCATGCATCTAGCGTTCGAAGCAGACATCCCCAAACCCGATTCATAGGGTTGACCTGGCATCGTGCGGTGACACGCGCAACGCCGCTTCTCGTCGCACCGGTTATGTCCATGTGGAGCGTTCGGAAACGTACTGGCGCAATCTTTTCATGTATGTCTGAAGTTTACTGGAACCACTGAGCGCGGGAACATTAGTGGTCAGCCTGCACCGCAATCACTTTGCGTTTGACGTGTCGGCGCTGATACGCCTTCAGTTGGAGGCGCAGGGATTAGATGACTCAAGGTGTTCCGGGTATTTGCAGGTGGCCATAGCCAGGAACTGCGGTTGAATCTGAGCGTGGCGCTAGCCGGGGGGGGGGGGGGGGGGG